CCCTGACGTGCTCGGTTCGACCGTAATGTCCGATAAAACCTGCACGTAGCCATGACGAGCACCGGCTCCATCCAACCCTGATTTATTGGTGCTTTGTCTCGGTCTCCAGAGGAATTCCCGTAAATCTCGGCGTGGAAAGTTTCACCGACGGGAAGTGAGTCGTCATCCGAGTGTAACTGTCAATTGAGTCATTGTTCGGCGCCGTAACCTACCTAGTAAGCGGCTTCCGCATGTGATGCAGTTGTGACCTTGAATTGAGCTGGACGTCGAGTCCGTACTACGCAGTGCTGATGTTCTATTCATGTGCTCTGCTCGGGATCCTGCTGGAACGCCCCACGGGGACGCGGGCCGCCCGTCGGGCCGGCCCCGCCGGTTTACAGGCTGGTGGCGGTACTGCGCGACGGGGCTGTAAACGCTCCGGCTCCAGACGGTAATCGGAGCCGCGGACGGCGCGGCGTCCTCCAATCGGGCCCATCTGCCGCCCGCGGCCGGTGCCGGGTCCGCCCGGCCGAGGGAGACAAACAGCTGAGAGGAGAGGAGGGCGGCGGTGGGGCGCGCACTGACGCCGCTGGCCGGAAGGACACCGGAGCCGACCCCGCTCCGCTCCGGACACTGGAGCGGCCAGCTGGCGCACAGCGGGCGTCATGGTCTGAAAGGCGCCGCCCCGGAAGGCTGCGCGTGTGTCGGGCGTGGCCGCGGCGGGGGACGGAACGGGGTGGGTTACCGACCGACAGGGTAACCGTCACAGCTGGACCGGCGTCACGTGGCGGTGTCGTGACGCGCGCGCCGTCACGCCGGCAGCGGTGACCGAGCGGACGGGTATCTGGGTCAGCCGCCACCTGTGTTAGAGGCGCCGGCCGACCTGACCCGCTCACTGTCCGCGTCCGTGCCGAGCTCCGCCGCTCCGGGACCGCCCGGTGACGAACGGTGAGTGTCGCGGTGCGTGCCACGGCCGTGGCCAGTGCGGTACCGCCCGGCGTCGTTACGGAGTTGCGTAAGGTTGATGCAGGGCCGTGTTTACTCCTCCGCCGGCGGGCCGGTGATGGACGCCGACGGCCGGACCCTCTCCCGGCCGGACGCCGGCCATTCCCCGCCGGCCTGTCGACGCCGATGTACCGGCGTCGGGTTTCGGCCGCACCGCCAGCTGCCCGGAGCTCCGGTGATGGCCGAAGCGGGTCTAGGACAAGTGGGGCAGGGCCTGGAGAGTGCTGATGTGGCGTCTGGAGCGTCTCGAACGCCTGGAACAACGCTCAGCGGATTTGATCTGCTGGTGTTAGGGAGTGGCGCGCGCGGGCGGCGCGTCTGGAGGACGGGGTGTGCCGTTCTCGTGTCGGCCGGCGCGCCGCCGACTTTGGTAACCCCGCGGCGAATCTCGACAGGTGGGGAGGGCGTGATGACGTCACACAATGCCCTCTTGCTCCGAGTGGGTGCGCTTAGCCAGGGTGTGTTCTGTGGCGCTTTGTAATGAGATATGATTTCATTGCGTCGCTAGCGACAATGTATCGCACGATGTAAACAAAACCACATCCTTCCGATGTTCGTGCAGCGGCCCTGTCGCGCCCGTCCGCCTCCACGCCCCTTTGATCGGCTCCTGCAGGCATCGTGCCGGCTTTCTACTGTGACCGGGAGTGGTCTCGGGCCGCCTGCACGACGGCACCGGCTCGGCTCGCTATGGAGATGCCGTAAGCGGCCCCGGCTGATCACAGGGGCGGGGCGGAGAGAGCCGTCGTGCCGGCCTCCGGCGACGGCTGACGATCCCGCTGCACCGCCTGGTCTGTCGAGCGGCCGGGCCGGTATCTGGCAGAAGCTGTCGGTGGTGACGCGATGTCGTGTTCCAGTTCATATGGATCCGTTATGTCGCAGCATCCAGTGGGCGTGTCGGCCTGAGCCGAGTGCAAAACAGCGAGTCGTGTTGTGGGCCGCTGCTCTCCAAGGTTATCTAGAGCCCGCCGCCGCCGCCCCGACAGCAAACAGCGCCCTTGAAATCCTCCATCTCACGCGGCTCTTTTCAGTCTCTGTGCGGCTGGTCGTTAGTGGCGGCGGCTGACCTGGTTCGGGTCGGGCCGCCGGCTCTCTGGGCTCGGCTGACAGTGATGGCCGGTCCGTGCGGGCGTCGCGCTGCGTTATGGCACGTGCGCGGCAGTGGCGCACCGTCAATCAGAGGTGGTGGCTTCCGGGACGGGCAGGCAGAGTGCGGCGCGGGTGACGACGGTCGGTGGGAGGCGGTCGGCGACCGTTAGTGATGGGGACGCCGACGGAACGAGCTGTCAGTGTCAGACGCAACCGGAGACAGCCGATCCGCGCGCTAATAATGGAGCCTGAAATAGGATGATAAGCTGGATGGAAGCTCCTTCTCGAGTTTATCCCATCTCAACATCTCATACATGTGCTATCAGATATTGGAAATGAAGATGTCACTTCAGCCTTTTAGGCATTTCATCGGAGATCTTTTTGTCGTTTTTTTTTTTTAAGCTGAGTGGTATCTGTGGAACTGGCAGCCGGGACGGACTGGCCGACCGAGTCTGGTCGGGTCGTAGTGACCCAGTTTGGTGGTGGGTTCGTGACCGGGCCGCGGCGTGGTGTGGCCTGAGCCCGGCGTGTGGAGGTCGCCGCTCCACCCCGCCGTAAATACAGCCACCTTCGCTGGCAGAACACTGAACAGAGGGGTCCGGCAGGGGAGAACCCGCGGCGCCCCCTCCCCGCTCCCTCAGCTACCTGCCCTCTGTGTGTGACCGTACTGCGCAGAAAGAAGCCGATCCGTGCGGCCGCCGGGTCCGTCATGGATGAGCTGCTCCTCAGACCTCGGGGCCTCCTCACGGAGACCAGTCACCGGACCATAAAGTGGGGTCAGCTGGGATCCGAACTGTTCGGTATGTCAATTGCTCTGGTATGTCACTACCAGTCCTCGCTCCTCGGCGCTGGTGGACGCGCCCAATGGTCATCGCCGCTGTGTTGTTTGTCCCTCCCCGGTGACCATCGATGTCCGGTTTTTACACGCCCAGTGACTGTCGTTGTTCTGTTGTTTGTCGATGCGCCGGGCGGCCATCAGCGTCTGATTTATCGAGTCGCCGGCGCCCAACGGTACCGTGCGGTGGGCTGAGCTGCCTGTAAGCCGAGATGGGCCGACGAAAGTAAGCGGCTGCCCTTGGGGCGCAGCTCTCGGTGTTTGCTCTGGACGCCCAGTGCCCCGCACCCGTAACGCAACACACTTGACCTGACCTGTGGGGCAACCGTGGCAGCGCGGCGGGGCGTGTTGTGCCAAGGTCGGGGTGTGTGCGCATATGGTGTGACCGAGCCGCCTGTATCCGCCGAGGCGGATTGTCCCAGCCGGGTCTGCCGGTCAGCTCAGCAGACCCGACTCACCGGACCACTGTCTGGTCTGCATCAAACGAAAACGTCAACACTGTCTTCATTCGACACTGGAAACGGACTGACCGCTATCGCGAAAATTGACATTGCCCAAATAAACAGACGGGCTTTGTGCGCTGCTCGGAGCGGGAGCCGGTCGCCGTGGCGCCGTGGCCGCTGACGCCGTGTGGGTCCCGCCGCTGCGTGTTGACGGCTCACCTGAGCTGCGGCCAGCGTGCCATGCCGAGCTGGTCCAGTGAGGCCGAGTTACACAACGGGTCCGGCCGGGCCTGCACCGAGCCTTTCTCTTCCTGGCCTGCTGACCACGCCGGGTGGACAGACTGGTGCAGGTGAGACGTACTGGCGGCGTGATCACGGTCAGCGCGGCTCTAAACTGGCCGGCCGGCTGGATGACAGCATCCCTCACTGTCTAGCCTCCGAATCCCAGTCTCTATCCGGTCTACTACTGTCCCTTCTGTGCCGTGCCAGAAACGGCTCATGTCGCCTCGCTCGTGGTTCCCCATCGTGCCTGGTATTTTTCTGTTGCCTGGTGAGCTTTCTGCACGATGCGAGTCACCTTCATGGAACAGTGCGGGCTGTTTCCACGATGTCCGGGCCGGTCCGGCCTCTTGGGGAGTGTGCACCGACCAGAGATAGCGGAGGTGTGGAGGGCCGGACGGCAGTCAGTGTGATGGTGTTCCGGCCGCCTGGGCACATTGTCGTTACGTGATGGATCCCACCGCCGTCCCGCGGACCTGATACCAGCCCGGCATCACCGCCGTAACGTGACGGGCTGTCTGCCGCGCTGTGACGCGGCGTCACGGTCGGGAGCGCGCGCCTCCGCCGTTTTTGGTGGTGTGTTGAGTAACGTCGTGAGGATCGGTAGAGCTGTTGTTGACGCAAGGTGGTCCGTTGCAGTCTGCCTTGACTTTTTGTTGGGTAATTTTCCGCCGGTATATATTGTATGTCATGGTGTACGGATGTCGTGACTGTGAGGCAGTTTGATTTGTGGGTGCTAGCTTATGACTTATAATATCTACATTGTTTTAATATTTACTGCAGTGAAATGCCGTTCTCTTGTGTCATGAGTTGTGCCATGGAAGCATCTTGCATAATCTTGTACAATGTACATCAAGTTGCTCTCGACGCACTCGGCAAGGAGACATCGCGGCCCCATTTCTTGTGCGAGCGCCGTATGAGCGGAATGCTTGCGATGGCCATACCGGTCGCGCAGTGTCCTCGCTCATGGTCGGCTCCACTAGCTGCACATAGCTGGGACGCCTCCCGTAGTGACGTCAGACGGCCTCCCGTGTTGATGTGTGTATGTTGCAAGGTTACGTAACGCTCTCAGATGGCCGCCGGGGGGCGAGCGGGTCCTGAAGCCGAGCGGCCCTGAACCGCGCGCGCCGAGGCGCCTCGGGCCGCCGCCTGGATTCCGTCAATGGCGGATTGATGTCGCTATTGTGCCCGTGACCTGAGCTGTAAAGCGCCGCCTCCGCCCACGGCATCGCCGATCCATCGCGTGGCTTTGATGTGTCGTTAGCCCGCGATCATCGGTAGGTCACTGTGTGTGTGTCTGATGTGTCCTTGGTGACCTGACCTGACCTGACCTGACCTGACCTGACAGACCGTGTGTCTCCTGTGTTCGGCAGTGCCGCGGATGGCGACCACGGAGAGCCAGATCCGGTTCAGCGGCCACACGCTGGACAAGGCCGTCAAGGCCAAGGTGACGCTGGAGAACTACTACAGCAACCTGCTACACCAGAATCTCGAGCGGAAGCAGAGGTGAGTGTCGCCGTTAGGCCGCGGTCGCCGCTGCCACCGCCCGCCCCTGTCCGCCGCGCAAACCCATGGTCTTGAAACTTGGAAGGGCTCTGGCTACTGGCTAGGTGACTGGCATTGTGACAACTGACGGATGACTGGAGCCCAGCTTACATTCTCCATTCATCACTTGTGGCGACACTTTGCCGTTATGGTTTTGTAACCAAATTTGTAATGCTTTTGATAAACTGGAATTCGCGTAACCGTTTACCACTTTGTGGACGCTTTGGCAATATCAGAGGGAAGGCAAACCAAACTCCAATGCGTCTCGGTCGTGCGGTCTGCCATTGCGATAATCCCGGCGAGACTCTGTTAGAAATGGTCCGTAATTATCCACCGGCGGAGGAGCTCATGTCACGGTGGCGCGGCTCTGTTCCGGTGGCTGCGTGTGCCGCGGTGGGTGCACCACCTGTCCGCGCGCCGGCCGACACGTGGCCCTCCCTCCCGGATGTTGCAGTCTCTGTGTGGCGCGGCTGACCCGCCGGGCTGTATCGGTGAGAGCGGCAGAGCCCTCAGACTCCGGCGCGGCGGGCGCGTCGGGTCGCCGAGCCCACTTCACCTCCGGGGCGGGTCTGACCCAGCGCCGGGCGAGGACATGGCCGCATTATGTGAGACATCCATCTCGGCCGTCTGCGGAGGCGGAGCGCGCGCGGAGTCGGCCGATCTCGGTCCTGTCGGCGGCAGCTGTCGGACGGACGCCGCGCGGCTCGTCTCCCGTCTGTGGTGAAGCGCCGCCGCGTCTGGCTGTCTCCGAGCCGAGTCTAATGAGTGTCCCGCCGCGACCAACACGTGCCGTCATTTGTTGCGTAACTGCCGGCCGAAAATTCCACTCGGTCGGCGCCGAATGGTGAACGATGGCCCGCTCGGAAATCGCCGGTGGCAGGCACAGTTGGACCGACCGGCGGACACATGATAGATCGGCGAGACATAGAGCGCAATCAGCGCCGGTCGTCAAACTTTCACAGCAGTGTGACGATGCGGGCTGCAGCGGCGGCGCGCAGTCGGTGCGAACGGCGCCGCCCTGCTTTTCTCCGTCTTTATAGCGTCGTCTGTCCGAGAGCGGGGAACGCCCGCAGTGTAATAACGTCCCGTCCTGCAGAGAGGAGACGCCGATAGGACTGCGACGCCCGGTTTTTACCGCGACGAACGTCACACCCGCGTCCAATGATAGATCGCTCCCGTGCTGTTGCTTCTCTCATTGTTCATCGGTCGACTTTGCGCCATTAATGGAGCTCAGCGTCCGGGAGGCGGCAGATGCAGACGGCGCAGGGTATTCCCCGTCAGGGGCCGCTTCCCTGGGGGCAATTTCTGCCCTCTGTCCGCCAGCTGCCACGGCTGGGAGATGACGGCCCGCGCAAACCCAATTTTTCCCTGTATCCCGGCCAGATTAGGTCAGGCGCAAAAACTCCCCATCTGCCGACCGACTTGTATTGACGCCACGCTCCCGACTCACTGATTGAATGTGACGCGGCCGGTTTCTTGGCGGACGTCGGCGTCGTTTTTCCTCACTGCAGTAGCGTCGTCTGCGGCGCGTTGCATTGGCAGAACCGTGCTAAAAGGCTTACGCGGAGCAGGACATCCGCCCGATATAGGGACCGGATGTGTCCGCCCTCTGGCCGGAGAAGACAGGCGGGTGTGCCGTGCTGGCTCTGCAGACGGGGTGGATGATACCGCTCTCCGTCGGCTGTCGGATAGGCTGCAACCGGCGACTCTTGCCGCCCGAACTCTCCCATCATTGCACGGGTCGACGAACTCTAGCACTCGAAAACTCGAACTCGATCAGCTGTGAACGTGCGCCGAGGGTTGTGTGTGGTCGCCTCCCGGCAGCCCGTCGTCCCTCGTCTGGCTCTCAGTGCGCTCCCCGGTGGCGGCGGCCTGGACCGGTGACTGGGAGACCCTGTTTACCGACAGCTGATCTGGGCTCCACCAGCTGCCGGTGGTCGGGTTTCCCCTCCCCTGTTTGCCCCGCGGCCCGCAGCGCTCGGTGTCGGCTCGGAGCGTCCCGTGTGGACGCGTCACGTGATGGGTCTGTCCGTGGGTGTCGTGACACGTGTGTCGTGACCCGCCCCGTGTCCGCGGTGACCGACACGCGGCCCGTGCCGTGATAGCCTCCTCAACCGGCGCCATTGAATAATTAAACAGGCGGTCGACGATGGAAGTGGTAAAAACTCGCCGCAATTTGGCGGTGTAATGACTGGCTGATTCGGCGGAGGCGCCCACCGCGCCGTGTTATTGATTGTGGCATGTTGAAGGTCGCCAGCGTGTGAAGGTTCGATGGCTGGTGATAATCAATATCGCCATTATCTGGGTTCCAGTACCACGCGTCAACACGCTGGGCGAGGGACGTTTGACTGGTCCGCCGTTAGTGAGCGCGTGTGTCTGCTAATCCTGCGGGCACGGCGGCCACTCATCCTCCGCTGCAGAGCGCTCTGAGCCGGCCGTCCAGCGGTGCGTGTGCTCGCGCGCACGTGGGGCCCGGTGTGCGACCCTGCTGCCGTGACCTTCGGTGTCCGGTCGGAGTCAGCGACCGGCTCCTCCTCTCTGTGTCTGCCGGCCGGCCAGTCAGAGGCGAGCAGTCACAGACCTAATGTCCCGGAACGGAAACACCGTACCTATACGCAATGGAGAACAACAAAGGAGACTCAAAGCTTCGGATTGCGGTTCTTGGAAACTTCATTAGCAAGGCAAATTCGGTGCGCTGGCTGGATAGGTAACGAGCCCAGAAGTCGGTGATATTTTGCTGCCGGTTTTGTCGCTGGTTTCACCTCAGCGCTTCCGGTGGCGTCTGTTGTCGGCTGCACGCGCTGGCGGCGCCCTATCTGCCGGCGGCGCGGCCAAAAACGGTACCTTGGCGACCCTCACGCGCTGCCGGCGGAGGGTGGCGCCTGAGGGTGTAGCGGTTTCACCCATTAGACGCGGCCTCCCTCGCCATTGAGATCGCGCTGAGTGCGTGCTTAGCGCCGCCGCTGAGCAGGTGTTGCATAATGTGCCCGGGGGAGGCGCGGCTCCCCGTGAGTGGGGTCCCGGCCGTACCGGGTCGCCGGTTTCCGGCGCCACTGACCCACTTAGGTCACGTCCTGCGACGGAGGGCCGGCGCGCTGCCGGATCTGTGTGGGTGGCGTCCTGGGGAGCGGCGCCGCACGGCAGTCACTCCCCACCCGGCCCGGCACGGCCTTGGACAGGTCGGCGGAGACTGGGACGGACGGGACACCGATGTCATATCGCACGGTGACCTTGGGTGGGTCGGCGACCTCTGCCTGCCGACGTCACCCGGACAGGTCAACAGGGTCAGCTGCGGACTCCGTGCGAGCGGCACAGAGCGTGTGACGGCCGCACGCGGCCCGCTGAAATGTTGAACAGGCCATTACGGCCGGCCAACACACACTGACAGACCGACTATGAGCGTGCATAATTTCACAGCGTTCGGCCGCTTCGATCGCACGCAATCGTGAGGCGCCCCGGTATGCGCCGCCGCGCCGCGCCCGCAGAGCTCACCACGGAAACCTGTGATCGAAATGGCCGCGCCGGGGCGCACAGCTGTGTGTGCAAATGGAGGTTTTTCGCTTGAATTGATGTTTGTTGTCAGTGGTTTTTGTAGACCTGGAAGTGCGTAAAGGAACAACCCCACTTTGAAGAAAGGTGTGTGCTCTAGTTTTGTGCGGAAGAACTTTGCGCACAAATGTTCCTGTTCCGTTTTTGTGCCGCGCTTGTCGCTGCAGCGGCTGTTCGCGGCAAGTGTTTGCTGTTTTCTCAGCCCGGTTGGCCCGGCACACCTGTGTGTCCCTAGCCGGAACGGGTCCATCCTGGCCAACCCACGCACCGCCGCGGCACCGCCGGAGCCTTGACACACATCTTTCTGCGCGCCGGTCCTGCCGCGGCCGTCCGACGCCCACCACCTGTGCAGGTGTCGCCGTCGGCACTCGGCAGTGAGTGTGACTTTTTCTGGACCGCTCAGCCCAACAAAGGATTAGTCGCACCGCTCGCGCGGCCCCTGCAATCGACCGGTGCCTCCGGACCGAACGGGACGCCGCCTTTGTGCGGCAGATCCGGCCGAGATCGAAAGTGATCTCCGGGGGCATCTGAGTAGCATCAGAGCAGCATCTGAAGTCCATCTGAGCTGCATCTGAGGCTGCCGGGCTCAAGTGGGTGCCCCCCCCCTCCCCTTGGGTTCGGGTGGTGGATGCTGGATGCAGATTGCAGAGGCCCTGGCCATGTGACCCGATCCCGGCTGCCCTGCCGGCTGCCGGTCCCATGGTCCCATGGTCCGGTCTGGGCGGTCCGGTAGTCTGATCCGGCGCCGTCGGGTGGCTGGTCGTGCCGTCCAGCCCGGTAACAACACTCGGGCCAGCTCACGGGCCGGCGCCGTTTGGGGTCAGCCGACACCTGACCCGGCGTGCCCACGGCGGGTCCACGCCGGGCCCCGAGACGACGGGGCGTGCCGGGCCACCCACCCGGCCGACTCCGGGGCCGGGCAGTGCGGTGGTCTGATGCGGCGGCTGTGACGGACGCCAGCGCCCAGACGGGCTCGGCCGCGCCACTTTCTGACCTCGATAGCACGGATGTGTGCTGTTCGTCATGTTTTGTATATTTCGTTTGAATGTGGTGCGCTGGCCACTCCCCGTTCGGTCGGGTCGGACTGGCCGCTGACAGCTCTGGAGCGGACCTCCGGGCTCGTCGGACCACTGACGGCCAGCCGTCACACAACTCTTGTTCCGTCACACAATCGGGGTGACGGACCGTGACGCTACTGTATGTAGGACTGTATAGCGAGAGACAGAGGGTGGGAGTGAGAGAGAGAGAGAGAGAGAGAGAGAGAGAGAGAGAGAGAGAGAGAGAGAGAGAGAGAGAGAGAGAGCCGGGATCACGCCATGGCTGCCGCTGCAGCGCCCGGCGCTCGTCACCTCTGACCTCGAGAGAGCGGCGGTGTCACGGCTGACGGCGCGGGCCGGGTCGGACCGACGCGC